TCCCCAAACAACATACAGCATTTGTAGAAACAGGTCTGAAGTCAGTTTTTATAAGATATGTTTGTCTAATATGCAGATCTGCATTCTCTAAGGAATGATGTTTTGAATATTTCCAAACTGGTGACAAATCATATTGAGCCCAATGAGAGCACGTTAGTTTTCATCCAGTGGGAACTACTAAGAAATAGTCAACCCTAGATACAGTGTCTTAAACTGAATTTTAAATTACTACGTGAGTAGAAATCCTTGTTTGCTGGTTAGACAAAATACACAAACAAGTTCTTTGATAAGAAGTTCATTGCAGAAGATTTTTATTTATCTTCAAATATGTTAACAAAAAATCAATCAAGCATGGGAAATAATGTTTGAATGTGCGTTTAAATGTCATCATGTATATTGAGAATCTTTTGAGAAAATCCCTGTAGAAAGTAAGGAATTCTAGAGAAATCATTCGTTCTCCTATTCAGTCCTCAGAATAGTCATAAGAATTAAATGGCACAGCCTAAACTCTGGCATGAAGAACATATTCTACAGTGGACCATCCACTTCAATGTCTCTTAAAATAGTTTGAAAATATGTCAACTGTACTTTTGACAGTAACAACAAGATTTGGGGTTGCACGGGGTATAATAAAAAATACAATTCCATTTCTTAATTTATAAGGATAACTTTCACAGCCATGATCTTAATAGAATCCATCCAGTAATTTTGGGATATTATTTTACATACATACAGGTCTGGGAGCTTTTACAATGGTTTCAGTATGTTTTTGCAGGACCCTGGCTGCACTAATATGGTGCAACACCCTTACAGGACTGCCAATGCAATGCCACTCTGACAGCAACCTTGCCACCTAAACCGAGAGAAGCAAATAGCCATCGAGTACGCCATTGCTGAGATACCAGGTAGGCCAGCGGAGCTGCTTCCGAAGAAGGATGCCAGTTGGAGGTTTTGCGTGGATTATCGAAAGCTGAATGCCGTGACCCGGAAACACTCCTGCCTGCTGCCTCGGATCGATGAGTCTTTGGATATGCTCCCTGGAGAACTGGATCTGGAGAAGATAGCGGGCTCAAGCTTCACTGTCGCAAACGTCACCTGCTCCGCTGTGCGCCTTCTCTTTCTTGGGCCACTGTGTGAGTGGGGCAGGGGTAGCCCCCCAAAAAACATGAAGGTGTGCACTGTGCAAGACTGGCCAACGCCTGTCAATGCAAAGCAGTTCAGGACCTTCCTGGGCCTGGCCATTTACTAACTCCAATTTGTGACCCTACACAACACACTGCAGTGGGTGGAGTGGTGGCACTGTGGCTAAGGATCTGCCCCTGTGGCTAGAAGGTTGCCTGTTCAATGGCTGACCCTGCGCTCTGACCCCAAGCTTCTCTCCTTGTCTGTGTGTCTCATGGAGATCAAGCTGGGTTACGTGAAAAGACAAATTCCTAATGCAAGCAAGTGTATTTGGCTCATAAAGTGGTCTTATCTTATCTGTCTTGTCTTACACCAGCATACCTGGGTGGGAACCTCATAGAGCTGGATCAGACACCACTAGCGTGCCTTGTTGAACTCACACTCTGTGGCACAATTTATCATGGACACTGATGCCAGCGACAACAGAATCTGTGCTGCCTTTGCCCAGAACCTGGGAGATAGAGAAAGGGTAATCGTTTACTACAATAGAGCCCTTACCAAAACAGAGCAGAATTAGTACATTACATGATGAGAGCTACTAGCAGTGGTGGATGCTGTAGAGCACTTCACGCATCATGTCAGCGGCCTACCATTCACCGTCCTCGCTGACCATTTGGCACTAAGCTGTTTGATGTCTTTCTAAGAGCCAGAGGGGCATGTGGCCAGATGGATTGAGAAGGTACCAGTACTGTGTGCAGCACCAAGTGGGACTGGAAGACCCCCCCGTGGAAATCGGTTCATGCTAGTCACAATCGACCATTTTACCTTCTGGCCGGAGACCTATTCCTTGCTGAACCCAGAGGCTGAGACAGTGTGTAATGCCCTTATCGACGGGATTTTCAGCTGGTTTGGAATCCCCCAGGAGTTGTACTCAGATGAGGAGTGGAACTTTGAGTCACGGGTATTCCAGGCCATGTGCAAGCACCTGGGAATCCTGAAGACTGGGACTATGCCCCTACATCTGCAAGGCACCGGCCTGGAAGAATGATTAACCTGGACCCTGGGGACCTGCCGGTCCACAGTGCAACACTCTACCTCCTGCACCCCAGCACTGCTGATGTTAGGCTGAGAATTCAGCACCCCTGGGAGCCTGAGCACCTGACCTTGACATCACCAATTTCTCAGACTCACTTCCCTTTTTCCCTTCCCATAGAAATCGGGTTCCCCTTTCCCTTTTTTCCACATTCTCGCATCAAACCCATAGCTGAGCAGTAGGCTCTGTACACCATGCCTCCATTTTGCTACTTTCCCTGCCTTTGCCTGAGTGATTAAAAAGCTCATATATTCTAAAAGTGCAATAAACGAGTGAGCTGCTGTCACAGTCTACTGTCTCTCTTCATACACCACCACCCATACAGAGGGATTTTAAGGGGGACTGCTATAATACACAGCACCTTTTTGTACTGAGACATAGAGAAACTCCAGGAGAGAAGGCTGCGCAGGGCAGTGTACAGGCTGCTGGAATTTCCTGGGATGCAGGCAGGCAGGAGGAAGGACTGGAACACAGGGAAGGAGTGCTGGGAAAGTAGCTGCAGGACAGGGAGAGTCGTCAGGTCCAGAGCTAAGTTGGTTACAGAGCGTAGCGCAGGGCCGAGGGGTCCAGCTCTGAGGCTGGGCAGGATACTCCCAGTCTGAGCTGTCATCCTCAAGGATAACAGTATGAACAGGGCACCTGCTCACCGGGAGGTTATCTCCAGAGACAGGACCAGTGTGCTTTGTCAGGGTGGACTGGGGAGATGCTGTATAGACAGGACTGAGCTGTCTGCTGACTGTCTGTCTGTGTCTGCAGCAGGGTCCCTACCGCCGGTCCTCACTCAACCTGGAGAAGCCCAGAAGAGGACATCTGTGGGCAGAGCTGACAGGTGGAGCCCAAGAACTGGAAACCAGAAAAGAAAGGGCTCTGCTGGGACACTGAAGGGTGGATTAACACGTCATACTTCTTCTCAGATCACAGAGAAAAGAGAGCAGAGGGTTTAAATTCCCCAGAGGCCCTGGTACCGTGAGAGATCTTACTACATCCAGGTGTTCTGCATTAGCTGTCTCCACGGCGATCAGAGCAGAGCGGAGGCCTGACCTCTGGCCACTGCAACTTTGACAAGCCCTGAGGTTGCATTAACTGTTTAATCCCACAGGCTGTCAGATTTCTGACTTCTACCTCTACCCCTGGCTCACACCGATGTTTTTTCTTTCAGTTGTATGTTATTTGACTATGTTTGTTGTTGCTGCTGCTGTTCTGTGTTTATGTTTTTGGTGTTTCCTTAATGTCTTTGTACTTGAGCATACATGCAAATAAGCATTTCATTGCACTTGTGCATATGATAATAAACTGAACTGAACTAATGTTAGGGGCAGGAGTAAAGAAACACTAATACAATAATATAATAAAGTGACAGTATGTACATAAAACACTATGCAGGTATTAATTCATTGCAGAAAGAATTAAGTAACAACACTCTTCATACGTAAACTAAAATTGATGATAGATTTTAAATTTTAATGCAACGATATATTCAATTCAAAGCTTTTTGAATTTTCATGCTTTTTCATGAGCTGGGTTAGTGTGCCATACATCTGTTTCTTTACTGAAAAATGATCTGAGATTTGAGTCATTTCCTTTTATTTTTAAACATTCTTTACAACAACACTGTAAGATTATGTGGACATCAGGGTTCTCCATTACATGTAACAAGAGAACATGGGTGACCTTTTACCACCTCCTAGGAACCCAACATTAATACTTATGGTGCAAAGTGCTGACCCAATAAACTATGTGCAGTACAATGAGTTGAGAGACACATGATCAGAGAGTATACGTGCTTAGTTAATGCTGTTCTTAACTGCAGGAGAAAACAGAGGTGATGCGGAGCAGCTGACACACAGCGGAGACGAGAGGCCTGTGGGCCAAGAACCAAGAACTACTACAGTGTTCACTTCTCAGGCTTAATATATAATGTACTGTATATATTTCTTAACAGACTATCCTTACCAGTTGAAAACATTATACACATTATACACTCACAAAGAGCAATGTACTTCAGTGTCAATTTAAACACTTTATGCAAAATATAAATGTGGGCAACCATTGTGGATAGCTATAATGGAGCTGAGCTTTTTGAGATTGTATCATATTTTCTCATAATGCAGTTATGCTACAGGCCATTTCTGCAGTTCTTTTCACATTTTATTGTAATTTAATGAAAACCCTACACTAATTTTAAATCACATGATTTCAGCACCTTTCAGCGGACTGGAGATTTAATTGAAAACAACAAGAACAACTACAATAATAATAATAATAATAATACATTTTATTTTGCTCAAATAATTTCCACAATAATCTATTGATATTTATATTATAATAATTTTCAATTTAATCTACTATATATAACAGTATTACATATGAGTGCCAATGTAATGTTGATTTTTTTACCTTGATTAAATGAGAACTATGCATACATTTATTTTTTATGTCAATATTACACATAGCAAACTTCTTTTCTTCAGGAGATGGTATTCAGGACAAGTTATTTATCCACTTTGAAAATAATTTTACCATTTGACCTTCTTTAGTTACTGTATATTGTTTAATGCACAAAATCCACTTACCATAGTTCCTCAGTACAGTTTTACATGTATTTTTATTTAATTGATATATTATTAATTCATTGGTCTTTTTCTAAAAACTTCTATTCTACAATTAATATCCAAAAGTGCAATTTTAAAGGTGAGAGAATGTTTTACTCACTGAAAATATTATGCAATAGAGACTTTTACAAGGTTTCTTAGAAGAATTCAGAAGCAGTGTTTTACATATTGTACTATGTGTTTACAAAGTGAGGAGACACTGTTTTATTTAATCTAAGACATGCATAATATTTAAGAGAATTAAAGAATTCTGCATCCCTTAAACCATAAACAAGAGGGCTGAGACATCTGGAGGCCAATGTAAAAGTAAGGAAATTGAAATATGTTATATGTATAAAAATCTGAATGTCAATTTCCATAACAGCCATCTCTACAAACGGACACAACAGTTCAATTAAACAGAGCAGCAACTGCATGGTGTGCAGAAGCAAAGTCTTTTGAGCTTTGGATGAGGATTTTTTATTATCTCCTGAAGCAGCTTTTGCTACTGACATTATTTTAATATAACAAAATGCCACGATGATTCCTATTACAACAAAATCCAAATTTGACAGAATGGCTCTCATAAAGCTGTGCCATTCTGTCAGTAATAATATTTCATAGCGGCAGAATGTCTTTTCTGCATAATAACTTGGAGGTGCTGTAGCAGTGAAAATGAAGAGATCAATAATGGCATAGACAGAACTAAGAGCCCAGATGAAGAGAATTCCAGCCAGTGTCCTCCTCAGGGTGGAAATGTCCGCATGTCTCAGTGGCAGGCAGATGGCCACATAGCGCTCCAGACACATCGCAGTGATGACAAACCGGGTTGTGCGGGAGACAATTTCCATAGCCAGGCAGAAGAAAATACAAATTTCCACAGGAAGTGGGATATTTAAATTAAACTGGAGCACTACAAGGTCTGTCAAAACCAAAAGAACTGAGTCACTGAGTAACGAGTGTGCGAACAAAATGTAACGTGTGGTTGTCCGAAAAATCTCCCTTTTGAAAAAAGTGAAGAGCATGAAACAGTTCACAGAGAGAAAAAAACCAACCAGTACCTGGATAATGATCATCCTCAGCTGACGAAGAGCTACATTGGGAAGCAAAAATATGTCTTCAGTGCTTACATTATGTTGTGTGGTATTTTGAATCATATTTCATAACCTGCAATAAGAAGAAAAGATAAGATTAGAAAACACAATGAAGATGTAATGTTAATAAATGTACAGTATCTGTAAGGAAACCATGCATGTAGTTTCCTTTGTTTTCTTTATTTAGTTTTTTTCTTCAAATGGCTTCAATGAAAGCCAAAAACATTGTGTCGAATAAGACAGAAAAATATTACTTCGCTGCAGACTTCTTTTGTAACACTTGTCAGTAAAGATGAAGCACAAAGTAAAGATCAAAATCAAATTTAAAAAGTGTGGATGTGCCTATTTCATTCTTTATGTGCCTATTTTATTATTGTCTTGTAAAGCATGTACCATTTAATATTGAATTACCTTAAAAAACACTCTGATAGTATCCTCAAACAACATACAGTATTTCCAGAAACTGGTCTGTAGTCACTGTTTTTATAAGAGATGTTTGTCTAACATGCAGATCAGCATTCTCTGAGGAATGATGTTTGAATATTTCCAAACTGCTGACAAATCCAGCTGAGACCTTTGAGAGCAAGTTTGTTTTCATCAACTGGGAACCACTAAGAGCTAACCCCAAGATAAAGTGTCTAACCGAATTTGAAATTACTATATAAATGAAAATCTATTTTTCCTAACTTGCTGGTTAGAAAAGAAGCAAAAACTAGTTCTTTGACATGCATAACATTTTTATTTAATTTCAAAGCTGTTAACAAGAAATGAATCAAGCTCTGAGTTTAAATCAATTTAACATGCAGTATATGTTTGATCTTTAAACCCATAAATGTTCCAGGCCTTCAAGGTTGCATATCATCATACCACCATTTAAAATCTTTTTTAAAATATTATTCCTGTAGAAAGCAAAGAACATATTCAACAGAGGACCAGCCACTAGAATATCTCTTAAAATATATGTTTGTTTTATTTCTGCTTGATAAAATTATTGCTTCAAAAACATCTTGCATTACATGAACTGAAACACATTTTCCAAAGACAAAGAGATCTGAAAGAGGTTGAAAATATGTCAGTCATACTTGTACTATGTGTTTACAAAGTGAGGAGGCACTGTTTTATTTAATGTAAGACATGCATAATATTTTAGAGAATTAAAGAATTCTGCATCCCTTAAACCATACACAAGAGGGTTGAAACATCTGGAGGCCAATGTAAAAGTAAAGAAATGTGTCTAATTCAGTAATGTAGTAAATCTTTTGATTTATGAGTTTGAGCTCTTATTTCAGTTGTCATAAAGCTCGAATAACAACAAGGCCAAAATCAACAAGATTTGGGGACACATGAGGTACAATGGCCAGCAGCCATGTCACCCTGCAACTCACAACTCACTGCAGGTGTGAGTCTGGTCAGTACACGGATGGTAGACCTCCTGGGAAAGATAAGGTTGCTGCTGGAAGAGGTGAGTGGAGCTACTAGGGGGCGCTTACCCTGCAGTCTGTATGGGCCCTAATGCCCTAATGTGAAAAAAAGGTGCCATCCTTCGGATGAGACATAAAACCAACTCATGTATTATCATTAAAAATCCCAGGGTGTTTCTCGAAAAGAATAGGGGTGTTACCCCAGCGTCCTGGCAAAATTTCCCATTAGCCTTTACCAGTCATGGCCTCCTAATAATCCCCGTCTATGAACTGGCTTAATCACTCTGTTCTCCTCCACACTGATAACTCATGTGTGGTGAGCGTACTGGTGCACTATGGCTGCCGTTGCATCATCCAGGTGGGGCTGCACACCAGTGGTGGTGGAGGGGAGTCCCCATTACATGTAAAAGCGCTTTGAGTGGAGTTTCCAGAAAAATATTTACTATTATAATTCAGCCCTGTCCCTGGTGCGTCCTCTGTGGGCCTCCCCTGACATCACGACCCTGGCTCAGCCCGGCCTCAGGAGTGGGCCGCCCTGACAGCGCGTGTCCAGTTCAGCCCGCCCTCTGGAGAAGACCGCTCTGAAAGCGTGTCTAATTTGGACCACTTCCAAACTTCCACTTCTGGTGCTGCCCTTGCCAGACCTCCCCGCCAACTGCCTGACCCCAGGACCTGCCCCCGATTCTCCTCCTTCTATCTGTCCCGGCAGAGCAGAGTCCATTCTGTAGCGCGTCAGTCAATAACCCTGGACAATGACACTTTCTCGAGTCTTTAACTTCTCCTGTTCCACCCCTGCCATCCTGATGAGCGGCGAGGCATAACACTGTCCTATTGGAATGACATAAAAAACAGCATTGATCACTTTCCAGATCTCACTATTTTTTTTATACCAACTAAATGGCTTAAATAAATTAACATCTCAATGTTACTGAAAAAAACAAAGGCATTTTTCCTCATTTCAAAAATGCATTCAGCTAATCACAAGAGCTTTGACACATTATTAAATGTTAGGTTGAACTTTATTTTTGGACACATGAGTTTTAAGTAAAAAATAAAGAGGTTATCATTCATTGGCCATATTTTCTCCCAGCTGTGTAGGTGAAGTCAAGGCTGTACATTTAAAGATGTAGTTCCATAATTATTCAAAGGTTGCTGCTGCAATAAGACAGAACAAGAATGTTTCAATAACTGTTTAACATTAGGGGCAGGATTACTGTAAAGAAACACTAATACTTATGTGACAGCATGGATGTAAAATAGTGTGCATCTATTGTATATAGTAATTGTAGAAATAAATCTGTAAAATTAAGAAACAACAATCTGCAGCAATACACTAAAATACACTAAAATTGATCAGAGTTCTTAAATTGTAATACAATGATATATTCGATTTAAGGCTATGTAGACGTTTCACACACAAGAATGTTCTGTGTTTCAGACACTCAGTGTTTTTCTGTTGAATATCTCAGAATGGGCTTTTTGAGCTGGAGTGATTGACAGACACCTGCAGGAAGGCAGTGTGGGGATAAAAACAGGGCCGAGTTTCTGTGCTTGAGGAATCTGGGAAATTGTAGCATTGCGTTTGGTGTCAGTGCTTTACACATGCAGTATTAATATTATTAGTTGCAATGAACAACAAAAATTATGCTTATGATCAGAAATATGTTCTCATATGTCATTTCCTTAAAACAACTGAAATTTGAGTCTTTTCCCTTTATTAAACATATATTTAAACTGTTCTTTACAAAAATACCATATTATTATATGTTATTAATAAAAGGTTTTCTGTAAAGGTTTTGTGGTTTTGGTGATGTAAAATGATGAAGTGAGATGCTCCTTTTAAGTCAAGTTTCTTAGACAGTTTAAACCTTTGTATAAACATCCTCAGTTGTCTTCAATAAATTATAGGGTTTATACTCCTATCCACATATCCACTCCAGTTTAAAAATCAATCATGAATCCTTTACATTAAAACCACCCAGACATGTCTGACCTGTAACAACAGGTCATTACTCAAAGTATTATAGTTTTGAAACTTCTACAACTCTTTGAATTGAATTTATAAATGGATAACATCCAGGTGGATGCTGCACATTGGTGGTGGTGGTGGAGGTCCCCATTACCTGTAAAGCGCTTTGAGTGGAGTGTCCAGAAAAGCGCTATATGAGTGTAAGCAATTATTATTATTATTATTATTATTATTATTATTATTATAAAATCTCTAATCTATTTCAGTTTACTGTTGAAGAGTCATGTTTCTTATGAGAACATACTGTAGCGCCCACGTGGGGCGCTGTCGCCATGCGCACGCAAGGCAGGCTGGGAACGGCGGCTGAGGGGCGGGACTACCCGCCTGTCTGTACAGTAGTGGGACGAGGGCTGTAGACGCCCTCTCCCTCTTGTGACTGTGCGGGTGTGGTCCAGCGCTGTTTCCCCTGTCGCTGTCTGTGTAAGCCCCCTCAGTGTCTTCAATAAACGTCCTGCCAACCCGCGCCAGAGCCTCCGGACTGTTTCTTTCCGTCAGCGAAGCCCGGGAGCATTACAATACATACTCCGTTAAGATAGCACCCCAGGCGTTGAACACAGTTCTTTAGTGCTGCAAAGCAGGAAAACTAACTTTTTTTTCTGTGCACAGTGTTTTACATATTTCCCAGCTGTCACTTAAGTATGACCCCATCCCTAACACTGGGCGCGCTCCTAATATTAAACAATAATTGAAAAGTTCTTGTTTTGTCTTATTGCAACAGCAACCTGTGAAGAAAAAAAAAAGAGGAGAAGGAGGAGAATGAGAAAAAAACTGAACATGAACAGAAGTCTATATGTAGTATAGTGCTGAATGGCTTGTCTGTGCTGGCTGAAAACCATAGACTTGACTACCAAAGAATATAAATATAAATGATATAGATACATGAAGTTATGCAATATTTAAAGCTGGGCTACAAATCGTGTGCTAATGTTAAAAAGGGGGTGGAAGCTAATTGCTTTGATGTAAGTAAGGATGCTTAACTTGACCTGATCTCAAATGATTCTTTAAGGAGCACCTGAGCTATTCTACTGTGTATCATATTTTGTAGTCCTACTACAGGACACTACTATATCTTAATGTCTTCGAATGAGAAACAGCCTCTATACTAAATTTAAATAATTGTATTTCAACAGATTCCACCAAATTAGAGGTAATAGTGAAATTACAGTACAATAATACAAAAAGTACAAATATTTATTTTGTTCATAATTTCCTTGAGGATCTATTTATTGATGTTTAAGATACTGTTTTTTGTCAATGTAATGTTGATTTTTATTACTTTTATTAAATGATAAATATGTTTTTAAAAAATTGCAAATGCAGTTTTACATGTATTTTTTAAATAACACAGCCTAATATTTCAATTGGGTTTATTATGAAAAACCTATATTCTTCAGTTTGCTTAATGCAATTTTAAAGATGATAGAATCTTTTACTCACTGAACAACCTTGCATAATTTGTTAGAATACAGATACAGTGTTTTACAGTTGTCACTATGTGTATACAAAGTGGGGAGACACAGTTTTCTTTAATCTAAAACATGCATAATATTTAAGAGCATTAAAGAATTCTGCATCCCTTAAACCATAAACAAGAGGGCTGAGACATCTGGAAGCCAACGTAAAAGCAATAAAATTGAAATATCTTACAGTTACAAAAATCTGAAAGTCAAACTCCAGAACAACTATTTCTACAAAGGGACACAACATCTCAATTAAGCAGAGGAGCAACTGCACTGTGTGCAGAAGCAAAGTCTTTTGAGCTTTGGATGAGGATTTTTTATTGTCTCCTGAAGCAGCTCTTGCTGCTATTGTTATTTTAATGTAACAAAATACCAGGATTATTCCTATTATAGCAAATTCCAGATGTGCCCGGATGATTCTCATGTACTTGTGCCATTCTGTCAGTAGTAATATTTCATAGCTGCAGAATGTCTTTTGTGCAAAATAACTTGGAGGAGCTGTAGCAGTGAAAATGAAGAGATCAATAATGGCATACAAGGAACTAAGAGCCCAGATGAAGAGAATCCCAGCCAGTGTCCTCCTCAGGGTGGAAATGTCCACATGTCTCAGTGGCAGGCAGATGGCCACATAGCGCTCCAGACACATCGCAGTGATGATAAACGGGGTTGTGCGGGAGAGAACTTCCATAATCATGCAGAGTAAAATACAAAATTCCACAGGAACTAGGATATTTAAATATATCTGTAGTGCCACAAGGTCTGTCAATAACAAAAGAACTGAGTCATTCAGTAAGGTGTGTGCGAACAAAATGTAGCGTGTGGTTGCCCAAAAAACAGCTTTTTTGAAAAAAGTGAAGAGCATGAAACAGTTCACACAGAGAAAAATCCCAACCAGCACCTGGACAATTACCGTCTTCAGCTGTTGAACAGTAACACTGGCAGTCAAAAAAACATTTTCAGTGCTTAAGTTATATTGAGAGGAGTTTTGAATCATATTTCATAACCTGGAGTAGGATGAAGAGAAAAGATTAGAAGACACTTCACAGGTGTACAAATCTATAAGGAAATTAAGAACGATTTATCTTTTTTGTGGCACTTAATATTGCATTACATTCATTAAGCACTCTTATCCTCAAACATTTTTCCTAAGACGGTTTGAAGATAGTGTTTATATACTTATCAAACATGCAGATCTACATTCTCTGAGGAATGAGGTTTTGAATATTTTTAAATCGCTAACAAATCCACTAGAGCCCTTCGAGAGCAAGTTTGTTTTCATTAATTAGGAACCACAACCACCTAACATGTCAACCCAAGATACAAAGTCTATCCCAAGTGTAAATTACCATGCAGGACAAAAGGCCTGTTTCCTAATTTGTAATTACAGAAAATTCACAAAATAGTTCTTTGATGTGAAAACCCTTGAAAGAAATGTGAATGCATATGGAATCTGTCAGCAACAAATTAAGCACATGGGATCAATTTGGGATGTGCTATGTGCAATGTGCTTCCAGTTTAATTTGAGAATTGTTTGCCCCTGTTAAACCAAAGATTCTAAGGTGTGACCTGGACAACCAAAAGTGTCTCCATAGGTCTTTGGGCTTGTTTTTAAATTCCTGTTAAACAAAATGACATTTTCATATCAATCACTCTGTCCCTCGGTACTCAGAAGAGCTCTTCATGAATGGCATAGTCTAAATTTGAACTGGCATGAATGGGGAATGTTCTGTACAGGATTGGCCTTGTGAAAGCCTCTTGTTATTTATGTTTGTTTTATTTGTGTCTGGTAAAAGTTTTGCATCCAATGAAGTGTCTAACACAACATTAACATAATCTTGTCTAATGTGTCAGTTTATTCCAATTATTCAGTTTATTGGAATTAAGAATTCCAATGTACATGTACATATGGCAAAAAACTACTCTACTATACTCTTCTCTACTATGTCTCAGATATAGATTCCTTTAAGAGTAAGAAAATGTGCCATAATTGTAGCAGGAGTTGGACACTGAGGTTTAACTATGTAAATGCCAGCAGCCATACACCCTGCAACTCACAACTGGCAACCCACTGAAGCTCAGCAGGTGTGAGCCTGGTCAGTACCTGGATGGGAGACCTCCTGGGAAAAACTAAGGTTGCTGCTGGAAGTGGTGTTAGTGGGGCCAGCAGGGGGCGATTAACCTGTGGTCAATGTGGGTCCTAATGCCCCAGTGTAGTGATGGGGACACTATACTGTAAACAGACGCCGTCCTTCGGATGAGATATAAAACTGAGACGTAAAAAGACGTAAAACCGAGGTCCTGACTCTCTGTGGTCTTTAAAAATCCCAGGGTGTTTCTCGAAAAGAGTAGGGGTGTAACCCTGGCATCCTGGCCAAATTTCCCATTGGCCCTTACCAATCATGGCCTCCTAATAATCCCCATCTATGAATTGGCTTCATTACTCTGCTCTCCTCCCCACTGATAGCTGATGTGTGGTGAGCGTTCTGGTGCACTATGGCTGCCGTCGCATTGGTGGTGGTGGAAGGGAGTCCCCATTTCCTGTAAAGCGCTTTGAGTGGAGTGTCCAGAAAAGCACTATATAAGTGTAAGCAATTATTATTATTATAAATCCCTGGTTTTGTGCTGAGCAAATCCATAGAAAATGTTTTTTGTGCACATAGGATTAGTTATTATGTTGATGCTTGTAATGGTGCTTCTAGTGATGAAATAGTCAACTCTGGTGTTACAGCTACAGCCTATATTTAGTTATTTAATATTTACAACCTCGATTTTAAAAAATGGAGCCTAGCCATCACATGATCCACCAATAAAGCCAATGGGTTTCTATGTAATGAAGTGTTTAAATGACAAGGATTAGTCTGTAATGATACTCATCCCCACAGGGCCAAAGGTCAGATACTGGACATGAGTCCATGTTAATTAATAATCATTTAGGTAGGATGCCTTTAATGTCATACATGAAAAAGCAGAAAGCCAAGAAGAGGCTATCTCACACACTGTAGTTCCTGTTTCCTCCTTGGCTGAACTCCAAAAAAAAGTTAGAATGAACTTTTCTTTATCTGTGAGCAAAACATTGTTGAACTTCTTTAACCTTAAAATGGAGTCAGTACTGAAACTCTCAGGTGCTTAATTTATAGGAAAAGGGAGTGAAGACTTCATTTATTATTAATATTGAGCTCTGTGTTTAATTAAGATGTTTTGCTTATGATGAAATAGGCCCCCTACCTGAAAATGTGAAGAACATGAGGATAACACTGAATGAGGAGCCTTACACAGACGCACAGATTTTGAATATGGATGTCATTGTCAAGTTGTTGTTCTGCAATCAGTCTAAATACATAGCACAGGTACAGCAGAATCCTTAGAAATCTTCACAGTTATCCTGAAAATCTGTGTTAAATCTTTATAAGCACAGCAGGAAGGCCTAAAATATTCCTGTTGGAAAACGTTATTTAAAAGATACATCAACATTTATTAAAATCAGCTTTGCTTACCAGAGGAACTCTGCTTTTAAAATATAGTTCAAATGACCTGATTTCAGATGGGTGACTCCCTCAAGTGGTGTTATTCTCTTCTAAGATTATATATCAGAAGGCTAAATTAACTGACAGGCCTGTATTATATTCTGTTTGATGTGGGTCTTACTGTTTTAGGCAGCATAAAAAATAATATTTAAATAGTTGGCAGAAGCTCTTGTCTCTCAGACTGTATACAGTATAAGTGGGATTAAACATCATCACAGGATGAGAAGAACAACAAAGTTGAGGTACCGCAGGTGAATGAAGACAGACACAGTCATCATTGCTAACAAGGCCTCTATCACACCGTACAGGAAGGACATGAGGCACAGACTCAGCTGAACTGCGTGCAGCAGCACTGTATTCCTGGCCTTTGTTGCTGAAGCTCTGTCAGAGGAGACTGACCTGGCCTCCAACATTATTGCCGCATATGTGTAAAGGAGAATGACTCCCACTGTTACAAAACAGAAGGAAGGGATTGCAATCTTCACATCAGCTTGTCATTGTGTGTTGAACATGTCCTCCCATCTGTAAAATATTGAATTTAAATACTGAGCACTTCAGTTCTTGATCTACAGAGCCAAAACAACAGATTGCACACATTGCCAGTATTGACCTTGATTTCTTGTAGGTGCTCTAAATGCATCCCCTCTAATGAAAACAAGCTGTTTTCTTAATACAAACTTATGTTTTAGGAAGATAGGTGTTACATCTGTTTGGATATTGCGTTGTCAGTTGTGGGTGATAGATTCCTTGTGAACTATGCAAGGGTTTTCAGGTGAAAAAACTAGTTTGTGCATGTTGTGTAAACAGTAAAGTTGGAAACAGGGATTTTGTTTTAATGAAGTAATTTAAAATTGGGTTAGACATTGTATCCTGTAAACTTGCTTTCAGTTTACAGCTCTATTAAGCTTGTCAGCACTTGGAAAATACCCAAACATCATTCTTCAGAGAATTTAGATCTGCAAGTAAGATAAATATGGCTTACAAAAGCACTGTCTTCAAACAATTACAAATATTTCAGGTGGGTAGGTGCAAAGGAACAAGTAATAGGTTTATCCCATGCTGAAAAAAAGAAGGGAGAACACACAACATTTCGGCCGTAGAGCCTTCTTCAGGTGCCACAAATATTTTTTGGAAATACCTTATATTGTTTCAGGATCAGAGTGTTTATGTAATGTAATACAATATATAATGATACACATTTACTATTAAACAAAGCAAAGAAAAAATAAATTCTGAAAACAGGCAATATTATATTCACTCTTTAAATCTGCTTTTTCTGGATTTACTCTGTATTAGACCTTTAATATCAAGTGCAAGAAAGGTAGCCTGCATATCAAAGTACTTTTTCATATTAGACACTAATTATTATTGCAATTGTTATATTATATCATTATTATGCACCACAATATCAATTAAATAATCTCATTATATTTCCTATAAATTGAAGAAAAAAGACAGATGAAAGAAAACAAGATTAAATTTATGCTTGATTTCCTTACATTTATATTTCTTAACATTATGATGTCTATTCTAAACTTTTCTCTTCCATTTACTCTAGATTGTGAAATATGATTCAAAATTCCTCAGAAAATAATATAAGCACTGAAGGCATTTTTCTTTATACACAGCAAAGGTGTTCTCCAGCTGAAGACAATGGTTATCCAGGTGCTAACTGGAGTTTTTCTCTAAGTGAACTGTTTCATGCTCTTCACTTTTTCTAGAATCATTTTTTTCGAACAATCACACACTACATTTTGTTTGCACACTTGTTGCTCGGTAATTCAGTTCTTTTGTTTTTGACAGACCATGTGGCACTGCAGATACATGTAAATATCCTGCTTCCTGTGGAATTTTGTATTTTACTCTGCATGATTATGAAAATTGTCTCCCGCACAACCCGGTTTGTCATCACTGTGATGTGTCTGGACCTTGTAAATGTCTCTATTGAATAAAATTTTAGCTAATTCTGGTTCTTGGGCTTGTGTCCCACTGCTCCCTCCCCAGTTCATCCCTCACCTCATGGGCTCGAACCCGAGTCTCTGGTGTCGCTCAACAGGGGTATTGCCAGCTGAGCTAAAGAAGACCTTCCTCAGCCAACATCCCTGTCATGCGCAGGGGCGTATTTGTTACACTATGTTCAGTGAGTAAAACATTCGGTCATCTTTAAAATTGAATTTTGCATATTGATTGTGGAATAGAAGTTTTTCTAACAAACCCAATGAATTAAAAAAATATATAAATTAAATAAAAATACATGTTAAACTGGTACAATAAATGGATCTGGAACATTTAACAATATTACGTAAGAAGGTCAAATGGTAACATTATTTCCCAGGTGGATAAAATATTTGCCCTGAATACCATCTCCTGAAGGAGAACGGTTCGCTGTGCATAATAATTACAGAAAAAAATACATGTATGTATATTTCCCATTTAATCAAAGTAATAAAGAAATCAGGTTTACGTTGGCACTAATATGGAAAACATGAATAAAAATACATTCTCATGGAAATTATTTGAACATAAGAGTGTATAATTATAGCTGCTGCTTTCATATCTCTGTTATCTGCAGTCTGCTGAGAAGTGTGAACACTATCTCCAGTCTTGGCCCACAGGCCTCTCTCCTCCTCTGTGTTCCCAGAGACATAGCAGTGTGTCAGCTGCTCTTATCACCTCCTTCTCCCACAATTAAGAGCAGCATTAATTAAGCAAGTATACTGTCGGATCACTTGTCTTTCAATTCACCATGCTGCACTTAGATTATTGTGTCAGCAATCTGTACCATATGTATGCTGGCTTTTCGGTAGGAGGTAAAAAGTAATAATATGTCACGATTATAGTCCCTCCTCCTTAAGGGTGCTCCAGCCCTTTCACCAGACTTAATTCTGTGCACCTGACCCCTTTTCCCAGCCCACCTTAAAAGCCAGGCGCTGACGCTTATCCTGGCTCTGGATCTGGTTTCCGCACCATGCGAGTCCGGGTCCTGGAAGCGCCTGGTCCCATTAAGGTTTTAATCTCTGTTCCTGCTCCTTGTCTGCCGGTTCTGACCCGGTTCGTGTTTTTAATTCCTTGTTTGGATGGATCACCTGGCTATGGACTTTCTTGTGTTTTTGGATTGTTTGCCTCGGCCACACCTTCCCCGTGCACCATCACACTTTAGACACGCCCCCCCGTTTTCAGCCCCGTATCCCTGCATAACTTTTTCCTTGTGTTTCCCCACTTCGGATTGTGTCGTCCACATAGGGTCCGGAAAGAACTGTTCGTTACATAATACTAATAATACAAAATAACATATTATTCATACATAATACAGTGGTTTTGTAAAGAACAGTTTAAATATGTTTAATAAAGGGAAAAGACTCAAATTCAGTTTTTTTTTAAAGAAATGACATATGAGAACACATTTCTGATCTTAAAGCATAACTTTATTTTTGGATAAGTTTTAAGTAAAAAATAAAGAGGTTAGCATTCATTGTCCATATTTTCTCCCAGCTGTGTAGGTGAAGTCAAGGCTGTAGATTTAAAGATGTAGTTCCATAATTATTCATAATTATTCAAAGGCTGCTGCTGCAATAAGACAGAACAAGAATGTTTCAATAACTGTTTAACATTAGGGGCAGGATTACTGTAAGGAAACACTAATACATATGTGACAGCATGGATGTAAAATAGTGTGCATCTATTGTATATAGTAATTGTAGAAATAAATCTGTAAAATTAAGAAACAATATGCATCAATACACTAAAATTGATCAGAGTTCTTAAATTGTAATACAATTATATATTCGATTTAAGGCTTTGTAGAGGTTTCACAGTAAAGAATGTTCTGTGTTTCAGGGCAGACACTCAGTGTTTTTCTGTTGAATCTCTCAGAATGGGCTTTGAGCTGGAGTGATTGACAGACACCTGCAGGAAGGCAGTGTGGGGATATAAACAGGGCCGAGTTTCTGTGCTTGAGAAATCTGGGAAGTTGTAGCATTGTGTTTGGTGTCAGTGCTTTTCACATGCAGTATTAATATTATTACTGTTGCAATAAACAACAAAAGTTATTAACAAAAGTCATTTCTTTAAAAAAACTGAAATTTGAGACTTTTCCCTTTATTAAACATAATTAATATGCACAGTGAGCCGTTCATGGAACTTGGAACTGAATATAATTTTCAGGAGATGGTATTTAGGGCAAATATTTTATCCACCTAGAAAAGAATGTTACCATTTGACCTGCATAAGTGATATTGTTAAATGTACCAGATCCACTTAGCTCCTAAGTGAAGTTTTACATGTATTTTTATTTAATTTCTAGATTTTTTAATTCATTGAGGTTGTTCGAAAAACTTCTATTCCACAATCAATATGCAAAATTCAATTTTAAAGATGACAGAATGTTTTACTCACTGAACATAGTTTAACAAATACGCCCCTGTGCATAACAGGGATGTTTGCCGAGGAAGGTCTTCTTTAGCCCAGCTGGCAATACCCCTGTTGAACAATGCCGGAGACCTGGGTTCGAGCCCATGCGGTGAGGGACATAGTGGGGCACAAGCCCAAGAACCAGAATTCTCAACATTATGCAATAGAGACTTTTACAAAATTTCATGTAAGAACTCAGAAACAATGTTTTTACATCTTCCATAATGTGTATACAAAGCGAGGAGACACTGTTTTCTTCAGTTTAAGACATGCATACTTTTTAAGAGCATTAAATAATTCTGCATCCCTTAAACCATAAACAAGAGGGCTGAGATATCTGGAAGCCAATGTAAAAGCAATAAAATTGAAATATCTTACAGTTACAAAAATCTGAAAGTAAATTTCCAAAACTGCCATCTCTACAAAGGGACACAACAGTTAAATTAAACAGAGGGGCAACTGCATTGTGTGCAGAAGCAAACTCTTTTGAGCTTTGGATGAGGAATTCTTATTATCTCCTGAAGCAGCTCTGGCTGCTGACATTTTATATAACAACATACCAGGATTATTCCTATTACAACAAATTCCAAATTTGACAGAATGGCTCTCATATAGGTGTGCCATTCTGTCAGTAATAATATTTCATAGCGGCAGAATGTCTTTTCTTCATAATAACTTGGAGGTGCTGAAGCTGTGAAAATGAAGAGATCAATAATGGCATACAAGGAACTAAGAGCCCAGATGAAGAGAATTCCAGCCAGTGTCCTCCTCAGGATGGAAATGTCTGCATGTCTCAGTGGCAGGCAGATGGCCACATAGGGCTCCAGACACATCGCAGTGATGACGAACCGGGATGTGCGGGAGACAATTTCCATTTTCTTTCGAATTTCTTTAAGAATGTTGTGTTGTCATGAAGTTCTAATATCAAAATCTAGAGAAACATGACCCAGACCCAGACTCTGACCCAGTTAACTACGTGCAGTATTATGAGTTAAAACACTCATTAGGTGATGAGACAGTATGTGTTTAATTAATGTGCTGCTCTTAATTGTGGGAGAAGGAGGTGATACAGAGCAGCTGTGTCTCTAGGAACAGAGAAGAGGCCTGTGGGCCTAGAAAAACTATAGTCTTCTCAGGCAGCTGCATACAGTAGACATATTTCTTAATCGATAACCCTTGCTAGCTGAAAACTTAAATGCCAAATGCTAATGTAAAGTTTATTTTTGTACTACTTTGATTAAATGGGAAATACACACAATTTCACTTTTCTATAATTATTATGCACAGTGGAAAATCCTCCTTTAGCAGATGGTATTTGGGGCAAGTATTTTATCCACTTGGAAAATACTCTTCTCATTTCACCTGCTTTAGTGATATTGTAAAATGTATGAGATCCTCTTAGTTCCAAAGTGAAGTACTACATTTATTTTTATGTAATTAATGCTATTTAATTCATTGGGTTTGTTCTAAATACCTATATTATACAACCAATATGAAAAATGCTATTTAAAAAAATGACAGAATGTTTTATTCATTGATCATATATGTAACAGAGACTCTTACATACCTGTAGTTTCTTAGAAGAACTCAAAAACAGTGTTTTACAGCTTTACTATGTATATACAACGTGAGGAGACACTGTTTTACTTAATCGAAGACATGCATAATATTTAAGAACATTAAAGAATTCTGCATCCCTTAAACCATAAACTAGAGGGCTGAGACATCTGGAAGCCAATGTAAAAGCAATAAAATTGAAATATCTTACAGTTACAAAAATCTGAAAGTCAATTTCCAAAACAGCCATCTCTACAAACGGACACAATAGTTCAATTAAGCAAAGGAGCAACTGCATGGTGTGCAGAAGCAAAGTCTTTTGAGCTTTGGATGAGGATTTTTTATTATCTCCTGAAGCAGCTCTGGCTGCCGACATTATTTTAATATAACAAAATACCAGGATGATTCCTATTACAGCAAAGTCCAAATTTGATAGAATTGCTCTCATGTACTTGTGCCATTCTGTCATTAATAAAATTTCATAGCTGCAGAATGTCTTTTCTGCATAATAACTTGGAGGTGCTGTAGAAGTGAAAATGAAGAGATCAATAATGGCATACAAGGAACTAAGAGCCCAGATGAAGAGAATTCCAGCCAGTGTCGTCCTCAGGGTGGAAATGTCCGCATGTCTCAGTGGCAGGCAGATGGCCACATAGCGCTCCAGACACATCGCAGTGATGACAAACCTGGTTGTGCGGGAGACAATTTCCATAATCATGCAGAGTAAAATACAAAATTCCACAGGAAGCAGGATATTTAAATATATCTGCAATATCACAAGGTCTGTCAAAAACAAAAGAACTGAGTCACTGAGTAAAGAGTGTGCGAACAAAATGTAGCGTGTGGTTGTCCGAAAAATCTCTGTTTTGAAAAAAGTGAAGAGCATGAAACAGTTCACACACAGAAAAATCGCAACCAGCACCTGGACAACGACCATCCTCAGCTGGCGAACAGCTAAGCTGGGAATAAAAAAAATGTCTTCAGTGCTCACATTATTTTGTGTGGTATTTTCAATCATATTCCATAACCTACAGTAAGAAGAAAAGAGAAGAAAACACATCAAAGATGTAATGTAAATAAATGTAAGGAAATCAGACATGCAATATTCCTCATCATGTTTTGTTTCTTCAGATGAAACCAATGACCCATATCAATGTGTTTTTAAAAACATTTTCTCTGCATACTTCTGTTACTCTTGGAAGTAAAAATCAACCATAGAGTAATGACCATAATGTGCCTATTTAATCATTATCTTGTATAGTCTAATATTAAATGTGTATCATTTAAAGGCTGCATTACCTTAAAACACTCTGATAGTATCTTCAAACAGCATACACTGTATGGTATTTTCAGAGACTGCTCTGAAGACAGTGTTTTTGTAGTACTTGTTCGTCTAATTTGCACATCGACATTCTCTGAGGAACGCTGTTTTGAATATTGTCAAACCGCTGAGAAATCCAATTGAGCCCTTTGAGAGCAAGTTGGTTTTCATTAATTGGGAACCACTAAGTTTACATGTCAATCCAAGATACACTGTCTCACCAAATATTAAATTGCTACAGGATTCTAAATCCTTGTTTCCTAATTTGCTCGTAAGACAAAATGCACAAACTAATTATTTAATGTGAAATCCATTGAAACCTGTCAACAACAAATGAATCAAGCATGGGAAACAACTTTGGGCTGTAAGATCTCTATGTGCTCTGCATTTAATATCAGGATTGTTTGCCCTTTAGTGCCATAACCATTTCAATGTGTGACCTTTGAAATTATACATTTATAATAATAATAATAATAATCTTTATTTTATATAGCACTTTTAAATATGGCTTCTCATAGTGCTTTACAGAACGATAACAACAACAATGAAAAAAGACAACATATGCATAACGGGAATACACAATGGGAGGACACAGTAAATGGAGATACTGAATACAGTAGGAGCAGAGGGGTAAAGAACAGAACCAATTAAGTGAAGGCTCTTCTAAAGAAGGTTTTGAGAAGGTGACTCTCTGATATTCTTGGGGAGAGAGTTCCAGAGTTTTGGGGCATAACAGAAGAAGTCCCTGTCACCCATAGAGTAGATGGGCTTGGGGGACTGTTAGGACACCATAGTTAGAAGAACAAAGGTTTCAAAGTGGGGAGTAGGACTCAGACAGGTACTGAGGTGCCAAGCAATGCAGAGCCTTGTAGGTGGGCATGAGTGTTTTGAAGTCGACATGAAACCTGGCAGGAAGTCAGTGCAAGGACTCCAGGACAGAAGTAATGTGATCACTTGCACTAGACCAGGTCAGGATTCAGGCTGCCGAATTTTGGACATACTGGAGTTTGTTCAATGTGGATTTAGAAACTCCAGCAAGTAGAGCATTACAGTAGTTAATTTGGGAGAAGACAAATGTGTTGATCAGCTTTTTAGCCACAGTTAGCGATAACATAGGACAAAGTCTAGCGATATTTTTAAGGTGAAAGAAAGATGCTTTGACAATGTGTTGCATATGTGGGTCAAACAAGCCTGAATCTAATATCACCCCCAAGTTTTTCAATTTAGACTGAAGTTCAAGTACAGTACCTTTCACAGATAAAGTTACAGCCTTGGCTTTACAAAGTTGATGGGGGGAGGTGGCAATAAGCATGACTTCAGTTTTGTCACAGTTTAGATTAAGGAAATTTTGAGTCATCTATGTTTTGATGTCAGACATGCAATTAGATAGAATACACATCAGTGTCAGGTTTGGTATGGATGTAGATTTGAGTATCATCAGCATAGAAATGATAGTTGAGGTCATGTGATTTTAAAAGCTGAGCAAGCGGAAACATGTAAATGCTGAAATGTAGGGGACCCAGTATTGAGCCCTGAGGAACACCAGACTTAACGAGTCCAATTTCAGACCTAAATTCACCAAGAGAGCCAAAGTGACAGCAATCAGTGAGGCAAGACTTGAACGATTTGAGAGTAGTGTCACAAACTCCAAACACAGTTTCAAAATGAGAATGTAAGATATCGTGGTTAATGTCACGGACGTCCAAAGGGACTAACCGTGGAGTGGCAGGAGAGCAGAAAAAGACCCATATGCGTAGCAGCGAGAGGGGAAAAAGGCCCGGGCTCGTTAGTGCAAAGAGTTCAGGAGTGCCGTATAGAAACCTATGCCCTCAGGTAGCGGACCTGGGGCGACCTAGTGGTAGGCAGGTCTCAGGACATCCGAACGTCAATGCTGAGCGAGGGCAGAGTACAAGACCCGGAAATATATAGCCCAAGGGAAAGAGAGAAACCGGAAGGACAGCAGGCAGGAAACTAGGGACAGGACAGAGAAGGAGCGCCCTCTGGCTGCAGAGGGCCTGACAGTTAACAGTGTCAAAAGCAGCTCTGAGATCAAGAAGAAAGAGGATAGAAAGAGAACCAGAGTCAGATGCTATTAAAAGACTGTTAGTAACTTTGACCAGGACAGTTTCTGTGCTGTGAAGCTGTTGGAAACCAGATTGGAGGGTTTCAAAAAAGGTTGTTTGCAATTAGGGGATTAGTTAACTGAATTGCAACAGTGCCTTCTAGATAATCATGCCTCTTAAAATATTTTTAGAAAATTCCTGTAGAAAATAAAGGTTTGTCATTCAGAATTATTTACAATAGCCACAGCACAGCCTAAATCCTGGCTTGTAAGACATTCAACAGTGGACCAGCCACTTGAATGTCTCTTAAAAATTTCTGGCTTGATGGACCCCTAAGGAGCACAAGGGTGCAGCTCTAAGTGGTGATCATAGAGAGGTAGGTGGCACTCTTCCATCTCGACCACATTTTGAAGCCGATGCTCATTATGGGCTTAGAAGACAACATGCTTCAGATAACCCTGGTCTTTTAGTGACAGTTTCCTGAAATTTTTGAAGACAACTGTCCATTAGCATCCTATTAAGAATAAAAAAATTTAAAAGCCCTTTATATATCTAAGCCTCACTTATTACACCCATGTACTTTATATGGAATTTAACCCCTCACTGTTAAATGTCACCCTCTAGTGGAAGGCCCCTTGTTATTGCAGGCCCTCCAAAGACTTGTCTACCACAGACACTTTTATTTTATATCTGTCTTCCGATGTGTGTATGAACACGAAAAATTCACCATATTTTTTGAGGTATTATGTAATTTTGGATTACTGAACTGTTCTTTACCAGCCAGAACTTCTGAGTGATATCACTTCTTTTTTTCCCGATCACTTGTTCTGTCCTGGGTGGTGCAGTGGTGAGCATTGCTGGGGTCCTGGGTTCATTCTAGACCTGGGGTGCTGTCTGTGTGGAGTTTGCATGTTCTTCTAATGTTCATGTGGTTTTCCTCTGGGTGCTCCGATCACCTCCCACAATCCCAACACATACTGATAGATAACATACTGATTCTTTTTTTTTTATGAATCAGTGGTGGCGGCGGCCATCTTCTACGCTATGGTGTGCTGGGGCAGCAGCATCATGACAAAAGATGCAAATAGGCTCAATAAACTCATCAAGAAGGCTGGCACTGTGCTGGGGATGAGCCTTGACCCCATGGAGGTGGTGGCTGAGAGGAGAATGCTGACCAAGCTCACAGCCATCATGAACAACACCTCTCATCCGCTTCATGGGACTGTTACTGGGCGGCGGAGCACATTTAGCAATAGACTGCTCCAGCTACGGTGCTCAAGGGAACGTTTCCGCAGGTCTTTCCTCCTGGCGGCTGTCAGGGTGTATAACGCTGCCCTGGGCTAGGACTGTTAGCCCTTCATTTGCTCCTCTATGGACAGCATGTTTACTCCATTGCACTTTTTGGACAATCAGTCTGTATAAACCTATGCACATTTTGCACATATTTTATTGTTTTCACAGTAACTATGATCAGCACATTTTGCACACAAAAATGTATTTATTTTTATTTATCTTGTTTGTCTTTTGTTTTATAACTATTCTGATGTCTGTTTTGCTTGTCTTGGGCTGGACTACTGTAACACATCAATTTCCCTACGGGATTAATAAAGTATTATCTATCTATCTATAAAGTAGGGAGCTGTGTCAGAATGCGTAGGCTGCAGAGGCACAGGTACTGTAAAAGTTTAATCAACGTTAAAAAGGAAAGAAAAGTAACAACGTTTCGGCTGTGGAGCCTTTTTCAGGTGTGAAGCCTGAAGAAGGCTCCACAGCTGAAGTCTCGTGTCTCTTTTCTAACCTACTAGTATGTTTTTGGATTGTGGGAGAAAATTGGACCACAATCCAGGAAAACCACGCAAACATGAGGGCATTGTGGAGGACATTTTTTTACAAAGCAAAAAAAAAATTTAAATGGAACTTTTCCTTAACTCTGACTAAAAACATTGTTGAACTTCTTCAACAATAGAAAAAGTATCAATACTGAAACTCTCAAGTGTTTAATTAATAGCCATGAAAGCTTAGTGAAGACTTCATTTATTATTAATATGGAGTTTAATTAAGATGTTTTGTTGTGGATGAAATAGGTCCCCCTGCTCGAATGTGTGAAGCACTGGGGGATAATACTGGATGAGGAGCCTTATAGAGAGACAGAAAATCATAATATGTTTTTCACTGTGTTGTTGCTGTTTTGCAAGTGGACAGGCTTTAGCATGATGTAATCAAATAGGATTGTCTTAACACTAGTGATTCAATATGAACTTTGTGGAATATGTTGTGTTGTAGGACAAAAAATCATACAATGTGTTATTTGTTAAGAGCATACATTACAATCTGTTACATAACAACGACCTACAGAGTACAGTTTGGTATCTCTGGGAACTGAGAGAGGAGCTGCAGGACTCCAGTTGGCCCAGGCCAGCTTTAGTGTTGTAAACATGTAAACTCTCTAAACATCCCACTCCCTCCTCTGCTACTTTCACTAGGAATAAGAACAAGTATTAAACATATTGAAAGGCTTATTGAGCATTTTAGTCACAGTAAATCTGGCACAACCCACTTGGCTGAGGTCAAGGCCACAAGATGAGGAGGCTAGGATTCCCAAGCAGGAGTGACCAACAGGCAGACTGCAGGGCGAGCACCCCTGCTGGCCCCACTTACACCTCTTCCAGCACAACCTTAGTTTTTCCCAGGAGGTCTCCCATCCAGGTACTGACCAGGCTCACACCTGCTGAGCTTCAGTAGGTTGCAGGGGGAGATGGCTGCTGGCTAACTGATACAAGTGCCATCCCATAGCAGTGATCTAATGTGATTGCAACATAAATTATACTTAACATAGTTTAAAAATAAATACATTCATAAGGATCTCTGGAGGATCTAATTAACTTTTTTTAAACTTTTTTAAATTTTTTTCATTTGGTTTGTTAACCCGTAGTAATGATCTAATATACAATAAGTGTATTTTTATTTTGAATTTTGTCTGTAGACCCATTATAAAACAAACTGTATGCCACTATTAAGTAGGCCAGCCTGATCTATAACATCTGTGAGTCTTATTTAATTATGTGAGCATCAAACCAAAAAAAGTTATTGAGAAAAGAGACAAACAGTAATTTTCAACAGTAATTAAACTATTTGTAATGTCATTTGCAGAAGGCTCACAGATCAATGTGCATTTTATTTTGAAATTGCCCAGGGTATCAGTCTACAAGCCTCAAATTTCTCATCACTGTCGCATGGTTACTTAATATAGTATTTGATGGATTAGAAGACAGGTGGCCAGACTTCGAGTGTTTGATTAAACGTGATCTTAACTGCCTGAGAAGGAGATGGTTGGTCAAGGGCACTCTGTACTGTGAGTAAAGGCGATGATACAGAACAGCTGACACAAGACTGTGTCTCTGGGGAAAGAGAGAGGCAGAGAGGGGTCTGTGGGCACAGAGCTGCTTTAGTGCTCACTTGTCAGGCAGGTGTACAGAGAAGGGCTGTGAACTATACCGTAA